ATAACCAGACTGGAAAAAGAATCATTATTTTAAATAGAACCAAATGAACATAACCTAAGAATAGTGAGCAAGAGAAAGAGATGGGGGAAAAAACAAAACTATTACAAAGCTACGTCAGGAGCAGAATTTTTACCAGCTTTCTGCCCAATAACCCAAGCTGGAGCACAAGCAGATTTGCCACTTGCACCATTTACTCCACAGCCCTCCGAGACCATCAATTCCAGACTTTTACACTGAAAATCTGGGCCCCCACAGTGTGCCCTAGAGCTGCCTGCTGTCCTCAAGTGCAGAGCACAAGACCAAATGAAGGGTCTGCAGCTGTTTATTGCTGGTGAATTCAACAACAAATTTACATTCATCCATCAAAGAATATGCAAGTGGAAGCAAATATTATGGTCGTGTCCATTTGTTTCTGATTACAAAATGTATGATTTACATGATATATGTAATGCACATGCAAATTAAGTGCTCCCATCAGGTTGATGGCAAAGTGCCAAATTAGCCCTTAGCGTTACAAAGTTCGGAGTGGCTGGCAGGGAGGTGTGCTGACAACAAGAAAGGCTAAGGCAGTCTCTTTAGATGCAGCCAAAAACTGGGCTGCTCCGAAGAGCAGGTGGAGGATAAATTCTGCAGTAACTTGTCTCTTTAAACGAAGCTGAGGGGCTATTGAAAAATCTGTTCCCGCTGCAGTTAAAAGAGTGATAATTACAGAGCAACGGGCTCCTCTGTCATTCAGCAGGCAGCATCCCCAGGAACTCTTGCTCTGTAATCAAGGGAAGAGGTGCAATCAGGACCCTATTCAGGCTTCGTTTAGAAACAGCCCCTGCAGGCAACACAAAGGCTTCAGCGTTGGTGCTTTGTGAAGCTAGTGATCACACCGCGCCTTGGTTCTGCAACTACAAGCAGAGTTAATGCCATTTCTGAGCACATCTACTGCTCACCTTCACCCTCCAAGTCCAGAAGGGGCTAGGAAGAGGGGTGAGGTCGTGGACCAAAAGATTTGTACCTCCGATGCTACTACAATGAGCTCATCTTTCAAATCCTCCCACATAGGAGGGGATTTCAAGCAAACTAAGCTTGACAGTGTGGTCCAGAGTGGGCAGATATGAGAGATAGGAGCATGCACAACAAGCTTAGTTAGCAGCACTGTTTGCAAAATTTGTGTAGGAAACGTCCCGATTTGTTTTTTGGTTGGTTGGTTTTGGCTTGTTTGTTTTGTTGGGTTTTTGTTTTGTTTTGTTTTTTACTGACATGAACATATTTATTTGTGCTGCTCACATTCTACTGGAGCTTCATTCTCTTGGCAGGAGCCTGATCCCACAGAGACTGATGAGGTTCATTAGAGGGGAAGGTGTCTCTGACTTCAACTTTCATGTTTAATGGCACCACTGCCCGGAAACATACAAATTAATTGCTACTCAAATCAGCCATCCTTCGTACCCTACAGAGCTGTCAGATTCAATGAACCTGTTTACTCCAACTGCAATAAAAATAGTATCACATTTTATTCCAAACAGATAGGTCTTCTGAAGTGTGCACACATTTGCACACGCACTCAAATACACAAATTGTACTTCTCATTGACCAGCAATGACCAGCACAGATACCCATCTGGGCACGTAGCTATCATGACACAGAAAATGCTGGCAACTCCGTATGCACAGTAAGTGCTAAAAAGCTTTGTGCACACTGGGGCATGTTCTAGTCAGAATGTTTTGTCTCATTATGGAATGATGAAAAAATTTTGTTCTCTACAGTGTACAGAGGTACACTGTAACTATACTTTGCATTACAATAGCCTCTAATACTGTAAATGGAGATTCATTCTATCAAGGTATGTGATCAGCAGGTTCCAATCTTTATTTTTTATTTTTCTGGCTATAGAATAAATGAGAGTGCTGTGGTTTTACCATCTGCAAACATAGGTATTAGTCGATAGCCAAGTAATGGCCTAGACCCTGTCAAGAGAAGTCATTATTGAAAAGGTACATTGCATTTAGCTGTTCAAACAGAAGTTGTTATTGATTGAATCCCATCAGTTCCCACTAAAAGAGCCAACTCCCATGACCAAATGAAAATACACACACAGACTACAGACTAGTAAATGCTACAATGGAATTAAGGATCCTCTCCAAAAAGGGAGTTGTTGATATCCAGTTAAAAGGGCACATCTCTTTCAAAAATAAGATTGAGGAAAAAATAGCCATGTTGAAAATAATTCCTGCAAATATCCAGAGGCAGAATAAAGAAGTTAAAAAAAAAAAAACAAAAAGGGGGGAACAGTTTTAGTGACAAACACTTCAATCTCTTGGAACAAAGCAAACACAGAATATGCAAGATGCTTAACGGCCAATCATGCTACAGGTAGGAAGAGCGTGTCCTGCCGTTCCTACAGTGTTCTGCTGTTCATCAGTGGAAGTCCTGCCATAGTTGGACAGTGGAAATCCAACACCTTTGAAGTTTATGAAGTTTTTCAAAGTCAGATAAAAAGGTAACTTGACTTCACATGGTTCATTTTTTGTTTTCTCGACAATTTTCTTTGTCTGCTTGTTTCCACTGAACTTTTGTTTTTCCCCTTCTCACAGTTTACACAGACACTGTAACATTTCAGGGTGACAGCATTTAAACACACATAAATCACCAGTGTTGCAGAACAAAGGAGACAGAAAACAAGGTTAATTATAAAATTCTAACATAAACCAAATATACATGAAGTAATATAATTAAAAAAAATAATAAGAAGAACTGGACAAGGTGGGAATTGTTTGTGGAAATTCTTGCTATTTCTTCCACTGGAAAAAATTCTTTGCACAGCATCTTACATGTGAACAGACCACAGTTAAGAACAAGTTAAAGGTGTTTATTAAAAAAGGTACACCGTGACAAACTTCTTTGCTCTGCCTTAATAGAAGGTTGGGGAGAAAACTGATGAATCATTACAGGAAACAAACAGCAATGTGACGCATGGCTTCAAAAGGTAACAATAGCGCTGCTTGATCTGCGATGCCTACAACAGAAATATCCCTGGTTTCAACAGAAGATGGATTTCATCTTGCTCCACCCTCGCAGGAAATACAGAAGTTCCACAGCTGAGCCTTGGATGGAGCTCAAAACTGCCCCACAGGTGTAAATGGAAGCCTCAGTCACAGTATTTTCTCTAGACATTCAATGAAAACCATATTCTGTTGATGTTTTGACCTGTGAAGTCTTGATTCATTAGCTCAGCAGCAGAAAAAGGCTTGTATCTGTATAACTCAGGCTCCGCATGCCTCTGCAACTCTCGTGATCTTCCATCACTCAAAATTTTCACTTGGGCATCAGGGCCCCAGCTATTCAAGTACTCAGTCACAACCAGAAGTCTCACCAGCCCCACATACTTCATGGTTCAAGCAAAGGAAACCGTTCTGGCTCACTACAGGTTTGGACCAGATTAATGCTGAACAAAAAGACAGGAAAAAAATGTGGAATGTAAAAATTCAAGTCTAGTTTGGAAGACTTGGAAACTTGGACAAAAATGGGGAGGAAAAAAAAAAAAAAAAAAATCAATGTACATAGTTCCTTACCAGCCATTCTGAAAATTATTTATTATTAATAAATACTTCAAATTTTATTACTGTACTTGAAAATTTGCTGCATGAAGGAGGTATTTCTTCAGTACACTATAGATCTCCATAGCACATACAGCTAATATTATCCCAGAAATCCTATAAGCTTTGTCTCTAAGATGGCTGTTTCAGTCAAGAATGATGAGTTATATAAAATGGTAATGTATATTATTCTTTTATTTGGATATAATTTTTTTTCTTATTAATAGCACTTAAAATTAACACATATATAGATGTCATGTTTGTTTTCCAAACCTTCCCTTCCTGTAAAAACATGCTTGCTCCTCCTTATTTATGCTGTAAAAGAAGAGCCGTATTTACACAGTATTTTGGTAAGAATACTGACTTCCTTTTTGCTTACATATCAACAATATACAGATGTTACTTTCAACACTTCTCAAATTCCACATACTAAATTCCAGTTAATCTACTTGCATTCCAAAAAGAAGTCAAGCAATGGTCAAGCAATGGATAAGCAAGATAATTTCAAAGTGGTTTTATTTCTTCTTCAGACTGAATGCTTCTTGCCCAGTTTCATCTTCAGCATAAGCTCAAATTGTTGTGCTTAAACCCAAATGTCACAAAATAATGCTGAGATGAGATTCTCAAATTCACACTGATTTCCAGTCAATTTACTTAACTCTTTTGCACATAGAGAGTTAATTACCATGACACTGCTAAAGATCAAGGAAAGATCCCTGAAATATTCTTCATTATGCAGTTTGCTTAAGACTTCAGGACTGAAATTTTCAAACATAGCAAGAAACAGTGTAGAAACACTCAAATCCCTGTTCCTTTTGCAATACTAAAAAAGATAATTCAGCATTTCCCAAAGCAATTTAATCAAGGGTGCTAAAACAATCAAGATGCCATTCAGCAACTAATATGCAAGAAATTGAAGAGAAGTACAGGGCTTCCACAGAGAGCAACAGTTTGCACCAACTTTGGTGGCTTAACCTTTGAATGTCCTGTCAATCAATTATGTTATCCATATGCATATTGCTCATTTTTACCAACAATTCACTCAGCATTGGTAAAATGTTGTTGAATTCACCCAGATAGTTGAGGTAATTTCTTACCAATGCTTTTATCAACATCAATACTGAGTATTTCTGTATATATCAATTCATGTTGTCCACCCTCATCAATAAGCTGGTGAAGAAAATCAGCCCGTGCTACAAACGTAGCATCTTTTCAAAAAGGCACCTTTTGCAATTGTTCATGCTCTCCATCTACTCTCACTTCATTATTCCCAGCTGGAAAAAGAACAGTGGAACCTTAATTCCTCTGACAGCCACCAGCAGGGATAAGAGCTCGGTCATAGCCTTGCTGAGTGACAAATAAACTCTTTGAATTTTATAAAGATCAATGGGAAGTATAGAAGTATTTTCTTACCTTCAGAACACAGCTTGCCAACGTACCCAGTAGCTGAGCAGTCACAGTGTGGCTCACCATCTAGAAGAAAGCAAGTGCCACCATTTTCACAAGGGTTTTCTGCGCAAAGCCCTTCCATTTCCAGCCGGACTCCTTGACTGTCCAGAAGATGCGGCTCAGAGTTGCCATATTTCAGATCCAGAATAAATCCTTGAAACGGAGGCTCGCTCAGAACACCATCAAGGGTCAAGGTGGCAGGACGGATGTCCAAAGGGACTCCACCCACAAAAAGGTCACTGACAATATTCATATATTGACGCTGTGGACGCACCTCACCTGGTTTGGCTTCACCATCCAGCACTAGCACTGTCCGAAGGTGATTGCGGCTGACCATCAGGAAGTGCCAGTTGCTGTCGTTGACCTGCTTATCTGTGATAACTGTAGTCTCTGCACAGTCCACACTGAACTGGAGCTGGATGCGCCCATCAACAAGAGACAGACAGAGGAAGTCACAGACACCACCGTCATCAAAGTAGAGAAGCAGCCCAGCAGAAACATTGGTCTTGAACTGGAAGCTGAGTTCACTCCTAGTGCTGGCATCCCAGCGGAGGAAGCGGGCCCACTGGTTGGGGATGCCCATGAACTCCAGACCCAAAGAGAGGCCCAGCAAGGAGCCAAGCAGCAAACTCACCTTCAAAGTGAAGTAGACAGAGTGGAGAGTGAAGCCCATTGTTTCAAGAATCTGCTTTCACCAGGAGAAAAACAAAAGCCACACTACTGGGAGGACAACTCCAGCAGTCAACACTGAATCTGTTAAATCCAGCAGGAAGAGGAGAGCACAGACTGACAGAGTGAGGGAGAGTAGTTGGAAAGGGAAATAGCAAGGGCACGTGACCAAGAAGAAATGCGTCCTCTCCAAGCAAAGATCTCAATTATCCAGAGGCCTTTATCTCTGGATATCAGATGTACAGGGTATACGAAGTGACTTCTCCAGCTGGTGCACTTTTGTGAAGGGCAAAATAACCCACAGAGGTTTGTTTTAGCAGAACACAAAGGTGACACTGGTTGTTCCTGGGAGGGAGGAAAGGCAGAGATGAAGCCAAAGCCTCAGATTCTGGTTTCCTAGAAGTGATGACAGTACTGAAGGAGGTGGCAGTAAGATGGAAGAGAAAGTGAATTCATAAAGCATGTGATCCTTGGGAGGGCAAAAGTGAAGTCAATCTTCATGGTGCACTGGTGACACTCCAGTTCATCATTCAACACTTGGCACTCAGAGAACTTGCAGGACCTGCAGAGTCAAGAGAAGAAAAAGAAAAGGTTGGTCCTACTACTAACCATATCTTTACCACAAAGCTTATTAAGCCCAGTATCTTCTTTACGTTTCTTGATATTCTGACCTCTTCTTCATGCCTACAGATAGCTGTACAGTCCTTCAAAGCATTAGGAACATCTATGTCATCAAAACTAAGAGGATCAGATAGAGAACACACCAAGAGGTCTACACACACCCCTGCTCTATGCAAGAAAAAAAAAAATACAACAAATTATTTTACCCCTTTGATGAAGGTAATGCCAGTGACTAATGAGAGAGATGGCACAGAAGCTTCCCCACTAAAAATTGCCTCTCTGTAGAAATACTCAGTGCAAAGACCAGTATGCTTTAGAATATAAGAACTGATGAAGAAAGAATATTATCCAAACTTCCCAAACTTCTGTTCCTTTTGTTAGACTACCGAGCACACCAAGAAAACATTAGAGAAGACAATTCCACTGTCAGCCTGTTATGCAGTAGCTGCTTTTACTTTACATGTCTTGCACACTTCAGGGACTTTAACAAGGACCTTTGTAACCTGGAAACATGTGCTATCCAAAGTATATATGGCAACCTGCAGCTGAGAGGATAGGAAACTTGTAGATTAGATGATAAAAACTGTCTAAGCACTTAAACAATTACCCTGGTCTAATTGTTTGGAAAAAGGCCAAGTTCACCCTTAGATAAGAGCAAGCTTCTGTCTTTAGTAAAAAGGAGTTAGACCTGTTAGCACTGGGATTTAATTCACTTCTGTCTATTCACATGTGGGTGACTGTATGCCTAGGTTAGAAGAATGTTTTAAGATTACAATAATGATAGCACAAAGCTAGGATACATTAACACAGGGACTTGTTTTCAGAGATGGGCCAGGCATAAGAAGAGCTCAGGGAACAGCTAACACTAGCAAAGATACAAAGCAGGAAAGAAGATGATGTGAATCAAGGCCTTCAACCTCCTAGAAAACAGCATGAACACAGATTTCACAAACTGGGTCAAAAGTATTGTGAGGCAGCATTTGCCTGGGTGTTTAGTGATATGAATGATGTGAATTGCTGGAGACCTTGTTCCTGGCAGAAGCCTCCCAAGCCTGACACTCACCTTGGTCCAGAGGTGCTGGCGCACAGATGCTGTAGAAATAGGCAGTGCAGAAAAGCAATGTCTAGTAAGTACAGTGGTTGAGCTGGAGGAGAATCACCAGGTAAAGGAAGGGATAGGTCATGCAGTCACAGCCTCTGCCTTACCTGCCCTAAGGACCTGCAGGAGCTTTAAGTCTCCAGCGCTGTCAATCTGGCAAATTTAGCCAGCACAGAAAAACAAGTCACTTAGAAAAGAAAATTGATCAATTAAAAGAAAACCCTCAAGCTAGAAAGAAACGTGAGCTTTTGGTGCCCAGTGGAAAGCAGGCCTACTCCCTGCAGCTGCCTGAGTGGAGCTTGTTAGCTAAACTGCTATAAACACAAATAAAATCAAGTCAAAACCAGAGGGAAGATAATTCCTTTTAATTGTTAACAGCTTGTCTTGGGAGAATGGAAGGAAGAAAAAGGAGGTGTTAGGAGATGTGTAAAAAGAAAAGGAAAAAAAGAAGAAAGAAAAAAAAAAAAACAGATCTAAATGCTCAAATCATCTGTTTTCCCAAAAATCGCAATGTTGATTCAATTCATGAGGGTTTAGGGTGCTTTGAAAATCACATAGAGGAAAAAGTATGTGGCTCTTGTCCATTTACCTTTCTCCTCTGTGATCCCTAGTGGCTCCACTAAAATAGCCCATGATTTATGGAGAAGGAGAATAGAGTAAGCAGGAGGAAAGAGAAAAAGTGATGACCCAAGTTGGAATTATTGATGAGATGGGAATAGGAATATAATAATGTGTGTAAATTAGCCAGCGATGTGCTCCCAGCAGCTCACAGTTCCCTTTACCTCACATTTACTGTAGCGGAACTCCCTGCTCCATGAGGCAGCTCTGTGCTCAGCTTGTGCTCAGGAGGTGGCAAGTCCAGCACAGCCCCAATCACCCATGGGGGCGCTGTACAGGGGATCTCACACAGCAGCTTCAGTCCTCCTGGTCAGGGCAGGTGTCAGCACCTGCGCCAGAAGCAGCCCTCAGCCTTCCTACTCTGCTCTCCCTGTTTTAAAAGACTGACCCTTTGAGAAGCAGTGGAACACAGTGTACATCACAGCATCAGGTGTGAGTAATCTAGAGATGATCAGAAAAGAAATCTATATGGCCACAATACAGCTGTACCAAAAAACCTGCCTATCTTTTCAAACCCCATGTTGCTAAAATCCCAGTTTACAGATGCAAACAAGTCTAGGTCCCCATGCAATGCTTCAGTCCTTGGGATACTTCAAGGGAGCAATAAAGGGAGCAGTGCTGCCTTGTATAGATTTCTGTAACATGGATACATGCTCATGTGCTGATGACAAAGGCTAATGAAGGAAACTTACACCAGGAAGAAACAGTTAAACAGAGACTGCACTGTCGGCTGAGTGAAGCTTCTCTATCTGTTCTTAAGAAGACAGGACCCAGGCCTGTTTCAGTAGAGGGAGGCGGTATGAAAAATAGTGAAATGCAAGTTTAATTTTGGGTACTTCATCGCCTCTTGGACATTCCAGAGCAGCTTTTGGGAACACTGCTGACACTCAAAAGGCCAGGACTCCTCCAGAGCTCTGCCAGAACCCTCCAGCCCTCCAGCCCAACCCACAGCACTCCCTGCTATCTGAGCTCCGTGTCTTACACAGCTCAGCCTGTGACAGTAAACTCCACCACACAGCAGTAATACATGCAGAGAAGAGCCAGGGTCCTTTTTACCACTGGCCAGGATTTGATCTGAATCTTGAGAGAGCAAATTCTGACAAAACATACCTGTGCCTTCCTCATTTCCCACAGTGATCCTCTTAAGCACACTGAGAACAAACACATTTCTGCTCTATTTTATTTTTAGCATAAATACTACCTTCTCAGCCTCATGCAGCACACTGCTACCATAGCAATGCATTACAGTTTGGGACAATAACTATAGAATCTCATAGTATTTTCTTATATGTATCATCCTTGGAGATCTCAAATTTTGCCACAGAACGAACACATCTAACAGAAAAAGATCTCATGATGGTCACTGCCTTTTTGGAGCACAAAGCAGCAACATCCCTGTTCCAACCCCAGCTATTGCTCACATAGGAAAGTAACACAACCATAGTACATTTTAGGCTTAATGTGAGTTAGCAGCACAAAGCAAGACAGCAAGTCTGGATGTTCTCAGCCCTTCAGTAAACCAGCATGTGAGACAGCACTTTGAACACTTGTTACTCTGAAGGAGTGAGGTTGCCTCTGCGTGCAGCACCCTGGCAGCCTGCACACCTCCCCAGCCCTCTCGAGAGTGGAAACAGTGAGGAGCCTGCATGCTGCCCAGGCAGCTCAGCAGCCCACATACACAGGGCCTACAGGAGGAAGCACCCCACTTATGCTACTCCAACTTCCCACTCATGGGGCTGACAGACTGCACAGCTTCCCAAGCAGAGGACGGGAGGCAGCCCTGCTGCAGGGAATCCTACCCACCACCATTCAGCTGAGGTCACAGCTATCCATTCTGCAGCCCACAAAGAGAGCCTGGGCCACATGCTGGAGTGGCTCTCAGCTGCTTATCAGCTGTATGCGGAGAGTGAATGACATTATCTAATTGCCAACTAATTTCCATAATTACTGACAGGCACACTCTGTATGCAGGGTTAATATCTCTGCAAATGTCCCACAACGCACCTGCTTAGGAAATGGAGTGAGAAGCCAGGCACTCTGCTGCTCAGCCCTCCCTCCTTCACTGTCTCCCTCCCTGGTTACTAATTGCTTGGGGATGAATATTTTGGTATTTTCAGCAATTCCTAGTGCAGAAAGAATAATGGCATTGGCTGAAGCCTGGATAATCTGGCTTCCCCCACAAAGCCCTACCACTGCAAACCGGCATAGGTCCTGTCATTCCAGTTAAGGTCACTAGACAAAATCCCACTTACACACTGATTGGAGAGGTTACTGTCCCCCTAGTCTGTCACTCATTCCACAATCAAAATTGTCCATTATGCCATACTTTGTGTGGAGTTAAAAAAACACATTAGTATCCTTAAATCCACATATTTTTACCCATCACAAATTCACCCCTGCCATTGCATTCACTGGGAAAGAAAATTGAATGGTTTACTCTTTTTTGGGGCCTATATTGAAGCAGAGGAGTTTGAAGATGGGCCCTAATTTGACTCTGCTTCCATATGCATTCCCACAGCTCAAGGCACAGCAATCAGATAATTACAGCTCAGTGACATATGCCGCTTGAAATGTTCCAGTGAAAATCACAATCAATAATTGATATTAAAAGTCGGGCTTGCCAGCGGCAAAGAAATGGAGAATTAATAGTATTTATTCAGCCCATC